CGGCTCAAAGAAAACGCCGCTCCCGTCAAGCAACGGTATTATCCCAGGAATCCCGCGATGCAAGCTATCATCGACGAAGAGGTGGCGACGATGCTCCGCGATGGTGTTATTGAACCATCGGATAGTCCTTGGAGTTCGCCAGTCGTGCTGACGAGGAAGAGTAACGGCAAATTTCGTTTCTGCATCGATATGCGCAAAGTCAACGAATGCTCTGTCCCCGACGCGTATCCGCTGCCCAGAATCAACGCGATTCTGGAGAAACTACGGCCGGCGAGATACATCAGTACACTGGACTTGAAGCAAGGCTATTGGCAGGTGCCGTTAGCGAAGGAAAGCCGACCGATCACCGCGTTCACCGTACCCGGGTTAGGCCTATTCCAGTTCACGGTTATGCCCTTTGGACTCCATTCCGCCGGAGCGACCTTTCAACGCCTCCTGGACAAGGTCATCGGTCCGGAGCTTGAGCCGAAGGTGTTTGCCTACCTCGACGACCTCGTTGTGGTGTCCGCAACGTTTACTGAGCACTTGCAGATCCTCCGGGTGGTCTTCGAACGCCTTAGAAAGGCTGGCCTACGTTTAAACCCAGAGAAGTGTAACTTCTGCAAAAAGGAGCTCAGATATCTCGGACACGTCGTCAACAACGAGGGGATATCAACCGACCCAGAGAAGGTCCGTGCTATCGCCGAGTTCCCACGACCTACGAACGGTAAAACCCTTCGAAGCTTTCTCGGTCTCGCGTCCTGGTACCGTCGTTTCGTGGACAGGTTTGCCCAAGTAACCGCCCCGATGCGACAACTACTGAAGAAGAACGCTCGGTGGCTGTGGGGCCCTGGACAGGAAGAATCGTTTGAGGAACTAAAACGACGCCTCACCTCCGCTCCTGTCCTGGCCTGTCCCGACTTCTCGGTCCCGTTTGTCCTCCAGACCGACGCGTCGACCATCGGTCTTGGAGCCGCTCTCACGCAGAACCAAGAATCCGGCGAGGTCGTCATCGCGTACGCCAGCCGACTGCTTACGGACCAAGAGAAGAATTATACAACGACGGAGTTAGAGTGTCTTGCTCTGGTTTGGGCGACCCGAAAATTCAAACCGTACCTCGAGGGTTACGAGTTCGTCGCCATAACCGACCACGTCGCGCTGAAATGGCTGATGAGGCTACACGAGCCTAGCGGACGTCTGGCACGGTGGGTGATGGAACTTCAGCAGTACACCTTCGAGATCAAGTACCGGAAGGGCACCCTGAACCGCGTCGCCGACGCTTAGTCGAGGCAACCCGTGACCAACGAGTGCCAATCGGGCCTGGTCGCGGTGAGTCATCTCACATCGGAGGTGACAGACGCGCCTCGCGAGCGACGCACAACCAGACGCAGGGAATCGACGAGACCGGAAAACCAACCGAGTGACGCGACGCAATCCGACGCACGCCCCGACGAAGCCAACAACGTCCCTCCGACTGATTGGTACGACCGGTTGTACGCAGCTGTGACCGCCAGCCCACGACGCTATCCACGATATCAAATCGTGGAGAACCGCCTTTACCGAACCTCCCAACGCCATGGGAGTGGTGGTAAGCTGTCCTGGAGAATGTGCGTTCCTCCAGGGCAAGTAGAGGCGGTACTACGACAGAACCACGATGACGCTACGGCAGGACACCTTGGTGTCAAGAAAACACTTTGCCGTGTAGGGCCCGAATATTTTTGGCCTGGATGGCGTCGGGAGACGAAAGCCTACGTGAGATCCTGTGATGCCTGCCAAAAGTACAAGGTGGCGCAGACGAAACCGGCAGGGAAGATGTACTTCCGGGCTCCAAAAGGTCCGTGGTACACGGTGTCCGCCGATCTAGTGGGTCCACTACCCAGGTCGGGAAAGGGCCACCGCTTCCTGCTGGTGATCCAGGACACGTACAGCAAGTGGGTTGAGTTATGTCCTATCGGGTCAGCAACGGCCAAGAACGTTGTCAGCAAAACTAAAGAGATGCTCCTTCGATACGGAGCGCCTGAGTCCATAGTCACCGACAACGGGACTCAGTTCGTTTCGAACCTCTTTAGGGAACTGGCGACGGATTGGGACATAACTTTCACGAACACAGCTCCCTACAGTCCGCAATCGAACCCGGTAGAACGAGTCAACCGCGTTGTGAAGACCATGATCTCTCAGTTCGTGAAGGAGAATCATAGGTCATGGGACGCCCATATCGCCGAGCTCCAGTTCGCCATAAACACCGCCGTCCACGATTCGACGGGTTACACGCCGGCGATGCTAACATTAGGCCGCGAACTCAGAGTCCCGAAAGCTGTCCGAGGGAAAACGTTGGAGGCGACACCCGACGTTGACGGACAGCCAACGCTCGCCGAAGTCCACGACAGACGAACGCAAGAATTCGGACGCATCTACGAAAAGGTCCACGCCAACCTCAAGACCGCCTACGAACAGCAGGCAAGGTACTACAACCTCCGACGACGGGAGGTGAGGTACCGCAACGGCGAGCGCGTGCTGCGGCGGATTCACACGCTGTCTTCCGCGGCCGACGCCGTAGTCGGGAAGCTCGCGCCCAAGTTCGACGGGCCCTGCGAGGTTGAGGAGCGGCGTGGGGCCAACATGTACACGGTGAGAGACGTGCGCACGGGGATGTCACACGTGGTTCACGTGAAGGACCTGAAGCCCTACCACCAACGTTGAGGGCCGAAGAATCATTACCCTACGTTCGATGATTCAGAAGTATTTTATTTTTAGTTTTATCGTTCATCCTTTTTCTTCCGATTTTACGAGAGGTGTTTTTATACCAGTTGGGTTTTATTTTCGTTCAAGAAGTCCTTTATTTTGTTTTCAAGAAGATTTTATTTTTTTCGTTTACTTTTCCCTCTCGTACACGACCTCTTCTTCACGACACCGTTTCTTCAGCTACCCCTTTTTCGAGACCTTTGGACCATCCCCCTCACGTTTGAAATTTTTTTTTTCTCTTTTTTTTGTGAAGTTGGTAAGGGGTGTGAGGTACCAAATTTTAAGGGGGGTAAAAAAACGTATTGATAGTCAACAAACACCATAACTTACCCGATTTTTATCCACAACATCCTACTCCTAGGCCTATGTGTTGGCCATAGCTTAGGCTATGGGCCAAAGAACGTAGGCCTACTTTTAATAACAGTGAAGTACACAAACACACCCACAACGATATATTTATTCATAATAGCACTCCGTTTCACATAATAAAGTTAAAACGACCGATTTTACGAATATTTAACGCCGATTACAACATCACTTAACCTCAAAATGGTGTTTGTTGACCAACGACAGACGACAACTAGACCGGCTCAACAGGCGAATCCCCGATCAGCTGTTGGCTAGTTTCCGAAATCGCCACCGCAGCGCTTGAGCCGCGGCCGAGGAAATCGGGATTTGAGCCGGACAAGATTATTCGCTGTTTGACCACCGACTAGCTCGCACGGGTTACGAATACAACGAAACGACACTACGATATTATTACGAAGGTTAGCTACCATATTAGTTAGGCCCATTTTTACGTTTTACGTTCTTTCTGTTTTATCTTACGCATACTTAACTTATTATACCTTTTCGTTTTCTTAATATTCCGTTTCGAATTATTAAATCTATTATCTTAACTTGAGTCTTGACCCGCCAGTTCCTGCCTGCCAGTGACTAGCGGTGGCTATAGTTTATTTAATTTTAATTCATTAGTTTCGAAATTACGATTTCTCCGTTCGCTTAACAAATAATTATCACGTCCAAATTATATCTCGTTTTCACCGTTTTAATACCCCGAGACTTGTCGTCTAAGTTCTAAACCCCGTCTTTGGCGGGTGAAAGAATCAAGTCTTGGGAGCAGGCTGATTTGAACAATCAGTTACGTGAATTAATATTAAATCTATTTTAAACAACATCACGATAAATTCTCCGTACAGTTATATTAATTAGGCCTCGACGACTCTGTAGGGATTGGGTTTTACGTCATATTACATTCTATATTATTTACCTAGGCCTTTAGATCAATTACCAACGTCTTCAACTAATTAGTTTAAAGTTCATTACGAGTATTTATATCACATTGGCATAAGATTAGATACTCGTCGGCCCTACAGTCATTCTAAAAGTTAGGCAAAATTCTCCACAACACGTTAGCGAAGGCTGGGATGATATTGCTCCAACTGGGCGTCTGCAGGATTTCCTGAGCGCTTCTAGAGCTCTGAGCCTTCGATTAAATTTTAAATAAATTGATCAGTCAAAGCCGTGACAACTTCGTATCGACCCCTGGATTTTTCACGGCTCCTTCTGAGCACTCCGGGGAAGAAATTTGAGTGTGGCCGGTTCTAGGGTAGGCCTAGCCTGACTTTGGTGAATACTAGTTTATTCCCCCCCTAGAATTTTGCGTCACACACGTTTGTACCAAATTTCATCAAAATCGGATCAATTTTGCTCGAGTTATCGCGCTAACGGACACATATATAAATATATATATATATATATATATGAATTTGAACGGATGGTGTTTTTGGCCTCTGGGGACCTCAAAACGAAAAAGTAAATCGGTCCCGGGTCTAGGTCTTACCATGAGACCTACGGTAATAGCTTATTCCCTATATGGGAAATTCGCTAAAATCCAGTAATTGTTTAATAATCTTAGAAAACTTATTACTTTTTAAGAATTATGAGACATTTTTGTCTAACGGGTAAACTTAAAAGACGCCTTTTCCCTCTAAAAGCAAGATTATAAGTTTCCGGAAAATCCCTGTACTTTAAACTTGAGCATCCCCAGTATTAGGCTGCATTTTAAGCATTGTAATCCCTAGTATTAAAATGCTCGGTCTAGCCTCAAGTAATGTGAAAAACAATCCCAGGCTCGTGACTAGCATCTTAGGATAAAAAAAAGTATTAAGCTAAGACTAAGCGCAAGTAAAATGTTTTATCATCTGTAACTTAAAATTTGTTAAATCACTTTTAAGTGATTTAACTTAAAAGATAAATAACTTAAAAGTTATTATTACCTTTCGGAAGACCATTGCTACGGTTCATGGATTCCACAGACTGCTTGGTTGATGTAGGAAGCCCTCGGAAACTCGGAGATCGCTTTGTGCTTTGCGTCTCCTACAATTAACACTATCATTTAGAAACATCTTGAATAATTTTTTTACAATAGCCTACTACAATATTTCAGTAGAATATGAATAATTGTCCGTTTTAGAAAACACCAAACTGTAGAAAACAATGAAACATTAATTGATCTGACAAGATCAGATTACCATGATAATAGTACAGCAATTGGTAATAAAATATTAAGTCGACACCTAAAGCAGACCTAAAAAAGCTTCTCAAACTGTTCCATTTGATCCACATAATGTTTGGTAGTAAGTTCTACCATTTTCAGCTTTAGGTGAGATTTAGTGTGATGAACATATGAAGCTAATTTTCACAATAGCAACCTGTTATGTTTATTATTCAATGATGTTTACTTTCTGTTCTGATTTAATACAACAAAATTTACCTTACTTTTATTTCAACACTCTGTCTTTTTACTATTAAAATATTCCACTTGAGTCATCTCAGAGTGGGTGTAGGGGGTTGACAACAATGTAAATTAGAGTTAGCCTATGTACAAAAATAATCTACATATACTAACTGCAAACAAGAATGGTTATTTCCATTTTCCATTTCATATTAACAAAAAGTTTAAATTGCACTACTTTTGTGCCAAAACTAATAGTTGAGTGCAATCTGTGGATAGTCAAAAGCTGGTATTTAGGCCCGTCTGTCTTCCATTTATTTTTATCAATGGATGTGAAAACTAAACATCGTGTGTAACTGGGTAGCTGAGTAAAATAGTGTTTGCCTGTAATCAGAGGGTTACAAAATCGATCTTTAGAAAAGTCAGTAGCTTTTAGACAATTTGAAATTGGTCCTAGCTGTCTCTAATGGGCTATATGGTCCTGACTAAAACCCAGCTGATCTTATTCAGTAACAAAGCTATCATATAATTCATTTTCACCTTAAAATAAGCATCCTAGTATGTCAGCGTCTTATAGATCTAACCTAATGTATTCCTACAAACAATGCGCACTGACCGACACAGTACGGTGTCTGGGAATGGCCAGGCTGTCAAAGCTGTGTTGTGAAATGTTGCTGAAGTCTAGGTTGCCATTGGACGAGCTCTCAGCCTCGCTGAGCTTCAGGAACAACGTCAACACTGCAGACCTGTTCTGCATCTTATAGCGGGACTGCAATATAGTGTGACAAACGTTACATGCAAGTGAGACATAACAAATAAATTAAGTTAGGCCTAGATCCAAAAAAGGGAAAACTATTGCACTAGTCATAGTCAAGAACTGGTATATTGAACAAGGTAAGGCTGCTGGCTAAATATAAAGTTTGGGAGTGAGGTGGTCTAGTGGTAGAGCACAGAACTTCAGTTCCCCGGGTCCGAGCTTCAAATCCCGTCAATCACCAACGTATTTGATCTTAAGTGATAATACCATAACTTCTAATCCAAGAATAAAGTAATTTGGAAATATAATACCAGGCTAGAGAAATGTTATTTTTTCAACATAGGTAACTGCATAGCCTATTACAAGTTAATCGAGAATTAGGCCCTACTTTCACTATATTTTAGTCCTATACCTAAGCTTCTTTTTTAACCTTAATTTATTTAGGCCCTGGTGTCCCTAAATAATGTCTCTAAATAATGTGTGTAGCTCTAAATAAACAAATGCATTTAAACTACAGTAAAGTAAATTTTCTGTAAATTCTTTTAATTAGACAGACAAATAACATTTAATATAAGTCCAAACAAATTTATGAAAATATAATAATGTAAGTTTCTATAAGTTAAGTAATCACTTTTTGAAATAAATTTTATTTGTTTAGCCTATCTTTTAAAATAAAACTAAAATTTCAACAGCACACCTTAGGCCTAGTTAAAATTTTAAAAATGTGCTATTGTAGGATCTATTTTAACCTGACAAGTTAAATTTAGGCCTTGGGTTTGTTCTTGTTCATCTGCTTACCACAGTGATGAGCTTCTTATGTAGTGCATCAAATACCGAAGCATCTTGACCTCGGGACTGTAAATGCTTTTTGATCCTCTCTGCCACTGCAAACTCATCATTGTCCGACAGGAATGTGCTGTTTGTGGTATCAAACCTGCAGAGAGTAGTAATTGCAGCCTTCGACATTCTGGCCAGGTTGGCTGTAAGATTTCAATACATTTAGTACCGTACCTGGATAAAGCAGTTATGGGTATTCGACTTAATGAATGCTTTCCAGCACATCTATGGCCAATTTCAGGATGGTAGTTAGTACCTATATCTTCTATTTGGTTGCTGGTAAGCTGTAAAATGAACTTCCTTCAAACTTACAGACAATATTCAATTTGTTCTAGATTGGGACTCACCCACAGAGTAAGTGGCGAATATTAGGTTATCTCAATTAATCTACAGATTTGACGACAATTTCTAATTAACTAAGTTAGCCTAACTTAATAATAGGCCTAGGTGTATGGCTCTATGGAGTGGGAATTTTTAGAATACCTACACTGTTGTGCAGCGGTTCCTTAGGTTAGAGTAGTTCAGTTAGATACACAACAGAATCGGCTAGGCTTAGGCCTATTCTGTGTTTTATATTTTAGCTAGGCTTGTATTTGCCTAAATGAAAAAAAATGTTTCCATTACTATTACCAAAGGTAAGTGGAGTGTTTTAAAGACTGTAAATGTTTCAATATCGGTAGGCCTAGTCTAGGCTACTTAATAAATAACTTATCTTTAAAACCCCCTAAGCTAGGCCTACTTTCGACTTCGAACACAGTTGTCAATATCTACATCTTCCAGTGCCTAATTGCCATAAAGGAAAATGAGAGTGTGTTTTTAACAAACAGTGACATCCATATGTACAACACCAGAAATAGAAATAAACTACACATCAATAGATCTAGGTCTATAAGCTTGGTTCTAAATTGTTACCCTGTTTCAGGTAGGTATGAGGTTTTTTAATCACCTCTCAACAGCCGTAAAACAGTTGTCTAAAGCTAAATTTTCAAAAACCATAAAATTATGGCTCATATTAAACCCATTTTAAAGCGTGGAAGAATTTTATGAAGAAGACCTCTCTAGCATGATTTTCTGTAGGCTATCTAACATGTAGGCCCTAAGTTAATGTATTGCTTGGTAAATGGCTTCCTGTTTGGTTTTGCCTTGCATGGTGTGTTGCTTTGCAGATGCTGTTTGCTTTGTACAGTAGAACCTCGATAACAAGACCCTCGATAACAAGACACTCTTGATAACAAGGGTCATTTTCAAATTCCCTTGAAATTATTTTACCCCTAAACACATGTTATTGTAAACCTCGGTATGAAGTCAACCTTGATCAAAAGCCTTATTTTATAATCCCTTTAAGAGTCTTGTTATCAAGGTTCTACTGTAGTATTCAACTTACTTTTGGCTTTTTATGCTAGCATGTTTGCTTTTTTCATGATTTTTAATTTAGCCCTCCGAGTGTCACGCGTCATAAAAACGACGCACGTAACACACTTTGTGTAGGGTCACGCGTCGCTTTTAAGACGCACAAACATCGTTTACGGCGAAGGCTCTATGACTGACTGAATCGGATTGAACTGGATCGAGTTAGGTATCGTTCTTTCCGTAATATTCTAAGCTTTCTTAAGAGGTCTGTCTCTAAGCGCTAGTCATTTTAGTTCCGAAAATATTGTAGCAGACAGCTGACGTGCGTGTATTTGTAAACAGCTAGGTTCCCCCGGACCGATGACTGATGTGTTTTATTACGTTTATCATTGTTTTAGTGTTAAAAATCAAAAGTAGTGATATACGTGGTGCATTATAAGAAGATTTAAGTGGTTTTGAAGTGCTGGTTGATGATCCTGAAGAAGTAGGTAGTGATATTGATGTAAATTATCAGCCAGATTCCTAGCTATGGTTAGGCTATGCATTCTTAGCTAAACGCTATGTACTGAAATACGTTTTTCGCTCATAACTTATTTATTTGATAACTTACCGCGCTATATGATTATATATTTGTAATCCTCATTAAATTTAGAACAAAGTGGCTATTTTCAAATATTTATAGGCCTATAATTTATACAATTTCATTGAGCGCGAACTTATTTTTTTTTTGAAAATTTTCGAAATTATATTTTTTTTACCTAAAAATTTTTTTTTTTTTAAATGTTCCTTATGTTTTATATATAATATTGAAGCCCATGATTTTCCAAACAAAATGGTATATAGAACATTAGAATTAACATTGTTTTAAGCTTTTCAGATCCGTTTTAATAAAACCTTGCAAAGGGGCCAAAAATAGGTGGACATTAAGGCCTAAACTATGGACACTCGGAGGGTTAGGCCTAGTTCAAGTTGTGCGCATGTTTTACTAATGCTTATGACTTAGCCTATTGTACATTGCTTGTATTAGGCCTAAATGGTCAAATAAATTATTTGATTTTACTTAATCTTAAGTATGTGATGATTTTGTTGTAACCTGAATCAATGCCTGGACACATCTGTCTGCATAACTCCTTGATGAGGGACTGTGAAGTTGGCACATTTTGTTCACTGGTTGACATAATGATTAATATCAAGTCAAGCAAGGATTAAACTTAATGTCAAAAGCCGATTAGAGAGATTTTATATTTACATAGGCCTAGGCTAGACTACAGGTATTTTGGCCCTTTACAGTGCGTTTCAAAATGGCATTAGAATAAGCAGTTCATTTCATTTATCCATACTACAACATCCAAAAAAAGACTGTCCTGTACTTTTGTTTTATAAATAAGATAAATATGTAGTCTATCAACCAAATAAATATCAACCCACGTATAAATTAATTGACAATATACACAATTCAAACACTTAGCTAAACAACGCCATTACTTTGACTTCTACTTCTGACTTCTGCTTTTAGGGATGGCAACGATATATCGATATTTTTGAAACATCGATATTCTGGCCCCGATATATCGATATATTGCCATCGACAAATTCTTCCCGATAGTATCGGAGACATCGATGTTTTTGGGTCCGATATATCGGATTCATAAAATGACAAAAAATTGTCATTTTATTTAAATTTTCTTGGGAATTTAAGTTCCAATCGCAAGCCCATATAACATTTTAAATGTATATTTTAAATATAGGCTAATTATAAAGTGGTTTATTTGTTATTTAAATTATCTCTCTTTTCTTTTCGTCTACAAACGTTTCAGTTGGCTGCCCTGCCCTGATGGATTGAGGGCCCTATTTCTAGTGTTGTACCTATGATTATGAGGCTGAGCAAAATTATTTTCCTCAACATATAAAACAGTTTCAAAAATGAACAATGATGGAACAGTTAATATTTCTAGGTTTCTAAAATGTTCAAAACAAGATTGCAGGTTATGTTTGCTTGAATTACCCCAGAGCACAATGGGGTATTTTATATGACTTTCAATTAAACTGTGATAAACAATTTTAGAGAGTTTGGCATTACCTAACCTGGCCACATTTCTAAGTACAAAAGTGTAAAACACCTTTGAGTAGTTTAAAAGTGTATAACTTAATTTTTTCATGATGTTTAATCTAAATTAAAGATAACATTTTTCGTGATTCTATGTACTTAAATAACACTTAATGTTCCCTGTGTCTGCACATTTGTAATTACAATAAGCAGTTTTCTTATAGAAAAGCGAAGTAAAATTGTCGATGTATCGTTGTCCCGATATATCGGGAATATCGATATTTTGGGGGTCGATATATCGTAGACATCGATATATTGCTTCCGATATATCGGAAACCCGATATATCGACAAAACGAAAAATTTTGCCATCCCTATCTGCTTTGCGTTTGCTTGATGCAAGTTTTCTTCTTCTTCAACTCAAAAGACCAAAACCACAATCCCAAGTCCAAGAGTCAAGTCCGCGAAGTTTCTTTTCTTTGTTTTTTTCACGTTTTTGTGTTTAGTCTATTTTTATTTTTTTTTTTTTTTCTTCTTAATGCCTTTGGCTGACTTGGTATTTTAACACCATGTAGTCAATTGTACACAAATTTATGAATTTAGTATACTTTTATCGTCTTGTGGTTGCCTGGGTTAATAGTTTTTCACATTTATCTGTAACAAACATATAGATTTTTGTTAGTCACTAATGACATTTATGTTTTGTTTTGTTTTTGAGTTTTAGTTAGTATGTATACTTTAAAGAAGGATAATTCTAAGGGTGAGGATATTCAAGGATATAGGGTTTGGATTTGAGATGCTCTTCTCGGCCAGGGGTCCGTCAGGCCTAACCTAACCCGAAAGGGAGGGGGGACCACGGAAAGAAGAACCCAATGCCCAATGCCACAGGATATTGTTTTGTGAGTTAGGTTTTCTGTGTGAGTTTACATGTTTTTCTTGATTGTTTGTAGATAGTTATTTATTTCTCTATATATTTCAGTGTCTAGGCTAGCAAGTATTTCTCTTATTTTGTTTTTTAAGTCATAGTTTGTTATTTTGTTTATTTCTTTAAAGCATTTCTTTCTTGCATATTCATATTGAGGACATTCAAATATGACATGTTCTATTGATTCTTCAGCCCCTATAGTGCATTTTAAGCATAGTGGAGTAAAATATAGATTCATCCTATGGAGTGTTTTGTTTAACATAGTGTGACCAATCCTCATCCTTATGATATTGATTACTTCCCATCTGTACATATCTGTGCTGTGGTACCATGGAGCTAGTGTGCTGCTATTTTGTATAGATTTATACCAGTAGGCCTTGGGAGTAGTTTTTAAGGTATTGTTTCTTTGTTTCCATGTCCTATCCTTTTGATATGATCTCAAATCATTTATTGGTAAAATTATGTTTTTTGTGTCAGTTCCAGATGTTATAGCTTCCTTTGCTGCGATGTCAACTTTTTCATTGTATCTTAATCCTACATGGCTAGGGACCCATTGAAGAGTGACCATCTTTTTGGAATCTATACAATTTTTCAAGATTGTTAAGCTCATATTGTTTACATTATTTGATGTTCTGTTGCATAGGTTTTTGATGGATGAAATTGCGGAAAGTGAATCACTACATATCAATATTTCATTGCTAGGTATTTCAGACAGATTCTGAGTACACATTAGAATTGCAAACAATTCTGCTGAATAAATTGATGTGTGCTTGGGTAGCTTATATCTTTTTTCTATTTTAAGTTGTGGGATGATGTATGCTGCTCCGGTTCCTTTTGTGGTTTTGGATCCATCAGTAAATATTTTGCATGATTTCCTGAAAGTTGACTCTAATATTTCATTTGCCAATTGTTGATAAAAGATTGGGTTTGTCTCTTTTTTTGGTTTCTGGAATGAATTTAAGGTGTCATTGATGTTGACTGGAATGTGGGATAGTATTGGTGGTTCATCCCAATCAGTGGTTCTTGCATTTTCCAGTTCATTCTCTAATAAGTTTGGGTAAAAGTTTTCAATCGTTGCTTTAACTTCAATATATGAAGGGATTCTTTTGTGTCTCCAGTACGGTTTTATTTTTGTTAAAAGATCAAGGTAAAGGATTTTGTGTCTATTTCTATTGTTGTGGTCAGTGAGTGTTTTATAAACGATTCTTTCCGTGAGATTGTTGCGTCTAATTTGAGTAGATTCAATTGCTGCTTCGTTCTGAAGTGCTATTATTGGTGACGATTTGAAGGCTCCTAGTGAAATCCTTAATGCCTGATTTTGGATTTTTTCAATTTTGTTTATAATTTGTTTGGGGCACTGATCAAATAGGAAGGAACAATACTCCCATTTTGGTCTGATCAAGCCCTTGTATATCTTCAGTGCAAATTGTGGATTAACTCCTTTTCTTCCACATGTTATCATTTTCAATATATTGATGTCTTTCTCACATTGCTTGGTTATGTTATTTATATGGTCAATAAATTTTAATTTATTGTCAATTGTAATACCTAATAATTTAATCTGATCTTCCAGTGGGATTTGATGTCCATTCATGGTTAATGTTGGAGTTTTTTTTTTCCTTTTTCTGGATATTATGACAGTCTTTGATTTTTCTGCATTGATTTCTAAAAACATTTTGCTTAGTTGCTGTGATATATTTGTTAGGGCTTTCTGCATATTCTCAGTAGCTTGAGATGCCTTTTTGTTTGAAGTATACCCACATAGCACCGAATATTTATTTGATATCAAATAGCTATCAAATTTTTGATATTTGAATATCAAATTGATATTCGCGAACATTCATTTGATATCAAATAAACGTTCAATTTAGGTTCAAACGTCACTCAATTTTACGTCAAATGAATATTCAATTTGAATATCTAATAAATGTAAAATTTGACATTCATAAATTTATTGGTAAAATATGATAAAGAGAATATGATTGAATTTACATTCACATTTTAAATATGACTAGTGGTCGTCCTGTGGTCGAAACTCGACCAAAAATAATTAATGTACAGACTTCTCTATTTTCTCCCCACACTGTAAATAAAACATGTGATTGGAATTTCTTTCATTTGTTTTGATTTTCTGTTTACATTTTGTTGTTATTTCGTCACCATCATGGCAACCCATATGGTCCATGTTAATTTTTTGAAGTTTTCAAATTCATTTTTTGTTCTTATTTGTTAGCCTATTTTAATTTTTAAAAGCATTCTGCACATCTACAGGAAAATATCTTTCCAACAGTATGCGTAGATTTTCCCTGCGATGCACACGAGCTGAGAAAAAAGGTTTTAAAGAAACATGCTTGCCTATTAATATATAGATAGATAGATAGTGATAAATATTGATATAACATTTTTGACATTCGAATATTAAATTGATATTCGCGAACATTCATTTGATATCAAATAAATGGTCAATTTAGGTTCAACCTCGCTTAATTTGACATTAAATAAATATTAAATTGAATATAAAATAAATGTCTTATAAATTTATTGGTAAAATATGTTTATAAGAATGAGGTTGCATTTTTTCACATTTCAAATTTTATGGTGATTAAAACAATAGCAGTTCAGACCACTGTTCTTACCTTGATTTCACTTATTATTCTGAAGTTATAGGTAGTTTGTTAGAGTTCTTGGGTTACCCAAAAATGTAAATATAGATATAAGTTATATATATATATATATATATATATATATATATTTCTTATTTGACAAAGCATTTTAAATTGACCATTCTTTCATCTCTATTATCAAAAATATCCTTAAATGTTAATTTGGTTGGATTCAAAGTGTATTTAAAAATATGCTATTTTGACAAGAGGAGTAAATTTTCAATAATCCAATTAATAAAAATATCACAAAACATATTGGTTTAAAACAAAATTGCATTCAAGGAAAACATTTTATAGAAAAAAATGTTGTTTGTATGATCAAATAAGTTTAATTAAAAATTATTTAAATACAAATATAAAAAGATATGTACAATTTACAAAAAAATTAATTCTGGTCTTCTTCATCTCCCAAATGGCTTTCTTGATTTTTCTCTTGTTCCTGTAAAAGAGGTTCAACAGAGTTATTTTCTAAGACAGCTATAGATAAAATATAATATGTTAGACAAGGGGTCTCCAACCTTTTTTTCCTCGGTGAGCACTTTTTCGTCTAAAAACGCCACCGATTTAGCGACTAACGTTAACTGTTCGTTACTCTATCGAATCACAACATCATCTACTATCGATGCGATTGTAGTTGTTGTTTGTCACAGATGCTGTTAGAGGCTTATTGTGATACCGACGAAATGAGAGCATTCTATTATAAAATTAAACTGTCATAACCTAACATAATTAACCAAACTTACTGATAATGAAAAAATGGAATTAAGGTGTACTACGGACGAAATGAGAGCATTCTATTATAAAATTAAACTGTCATAAGCTAACCTAACTTGCTGATAATATAAAAAATATACAAGATAAAAATCGAATGAAGATTAGATTTAACAAGAGCTTAGGTTTGCTGCTATGGAGAAGGTAAAAAGTTTTTTTGAGCATACGTCAATAGTATAGGATAAAGTAAATAAGTTTGCCAAATTTTATCAAAATCTATCCATAAACAAGTAAACTACATCAGTTTCCATTTTTTAATAATCTAAAATATAGTTCTGTTCATAAAATAAAATTATAAATGCCTCTAATTCTAACGAAAGATGTGCAGTTAAGAAGTAATCGCATTCTAAGCTAAATCTTTGACAAAAAGTGCAATGATTTTTAGTGAGAATAGGCTATATAATTTGACACTTAAAATGTCAGCTAGTTTAAGATTTCAATTTGTAGTTCTGCCAATTAGGATCAATTTAAAATATATATATTTAAATTAATCTGCCGCTACTTGACTACTGCTAATATTCCCCTAGGCCTATTGAGAAAAATTTAGCAAGTGAGAGACATTTAATATGTTCCTATTTAAATACGTTAGCCTGCCAACTTGGAGACAGGGAATTGTACACAAATTTTGTTGAATGGGGAAAAGACAGTTAATTGCTCTTAATTATGGTATGAGCCGCGAGGTAAATAAATATCCCATGGCTGAGCCTGCATTCATTGACAACGTTCTCTTTTTACACCTCAAGGAAATCACGGTCAACAATGACGGGTGTTGCTGGGATTGCAAAAGACAATCACGGCACCGTCGAGACTGCAGTATAATATGCTCATGAGTCTTGGCGAGATCACGGGAGATGATCACGGTATAGCTGAGACCACATGACCACACGTGTATACGCAATCGTGGGTGAATATCATTGGTGTTTGCTATAAAAAATAATAATTTTCAAAAACGTATGCTGGCTTTCTGCTGGCTGGAATAAAACTGCACGAGGGCCGGATGTAGCCCGCAGGCTGTAGGTTGGAGACCCCTTGGTTAGACACTTTAAAGACCTATTTTTTTTACTATAACTGTACCTTATAATTAAATTTATCGATAAGGCATTGAGTTCTTGACAATAAAGAAAAAAGAGATGGATACAACCGCAAATTAACCCTCCGAGTGTCCCTAGTTTTGGCCTTAATGTTTGCCTATTTTTTGCGCATTTGCAAGGTTTTATTAAAACGGATCTGAGAAACTTAAAAACAATGTTAATTATACTGTTCTGTATACCATTTTGTTTGGAAAATCATGGGCTTCAATATTATACATAAAACATAAGGAACATTTGTTTCAAAAAAAAATTTTAGGTAAAAAAAAAATAAATTTGCGCTCAATGAAATTGTATAAATTATAGGCCTATAAATATTTGAAAATAGCCGCTTTGTTCTAAATTTTATGAGGATTACAAATATATAATAATATAAGGAAGTAGATTTGCAAATAAATAGGTTATGGGCAAAAAACAGATTTCAGTAGGCCTACATAGCGTTTAGCTAAGAATGCATAGCCCTACCATAGCTAGGAATCTGGCTGATAATTTACATCAATATCACTACCTACTTCTTCAGGATCATCAACCAGCCCTTCAAAATCACTTAAATCTTATTATAATGCACCACGTATATCACTACTTTTGATTTTTAACACTAAAACAATGATAAACGTAATAAAACACATCAGTCATCGGTGCGAGGTTAACCAAGCTGTTTACAAATACGCACGTCAGCTGTCTGCTACAATTATGATCGGCTCGAGAAAAAAAGCGCTTAGAGACAGACCTCGGGAGAAAGCTTAGAATCTACCAAATAAAACGATACCTAACTCGATCCAGTTCAAATGTGAGTCGAAATTTTGACACAAAACACTACACAAAGTGAGTTATGTGTCGAAATTTCGACAAATAACACTCGGAGGGTTAAGTTTTGCTCATTTGCATAGCCTGTCACTGAAAATTCACAATTGTAAAAGAAAACATCACAGTAGTTAGATGTAGGCCTACTCTGTTAATTATAATAAAATTTAAGTTCTATATTAGGTAATTAGATAAGCAATCTTTTCTTTAACCTAAATTAAAAATAACACAATAAATTTACCTTGCATCAATCCTAAACTTTGCTGGGCGAAGCCAATTCTTGATTATAGTAGCAACAACATATTTTCCATTACACCACGATCCTAGTGTTCTTGCGTACCGGTACTGCCTCTGTATAATAAGAGATTAGTATTAGCACTAGAATTTGTATACTTTCATTTTCCTGATCAGCACCCAGGATAGCCTACAACTAGGTACACATATTAAATTGTTAGTGAAATCAGTTTTATATTTTGATGGTCTTTGCTTCTTTTGAGTAGCCTTGTTAAAGCTAAATCTAAATCTGAAAATTGAAATTTTTTACCTAGGTAGTGGTAAAAGTAATCCTCAGTCACTTAAACGGACAAATATTGGGGTGAGCACTGACTGAAATGAGTGCAACGGTCGGATGTAGATTGGTGTGTGTATAGGCCTATGTGTGCGTTTAAAAAAAATTCAACTAATACAGTTTTCTTTTACATAAGTTAGCACTGCCGGAATATTTATTTAGTGTAAGTTAAATCAGAGACTTCCTATATAAGTGGGTCACAAAAAAGAGAAACTCTCTTAACTGTGTGATGAACCTTAGTCTACGTTAATACCCAATAGGTTTACCTATCATGAATTAGGTTGTGTTTTGGCGGTAGGGCCTAACTTACCTACAGTTCCCAAGAGAACCTGCGATATATTATCGGACGGTATATATATCCGATTCGATATTAATATTGCAAAACCAGATCACCAAATCTGCAAATCATAACTCAATTTGATGTTTACATAGTGAAAAAACATAGGGAACGATGTATTGAATCGGATAATTATTGATATATAATGTTATTCATCCGATAATATATCGCAGGTTCTCTGCGGAACTGTACCCGTTATGGCAAAAAAGAAATACTTTGAGAAAACCTAATTGAAATATATGTAAGTCTACCTATTATTAATGTCTGATTGTAAATAAACAAAAAAAAACGTACGCAAGATAGCTGGCCTCAGATGCAGATTGCAAAAGAAAAATTTATTCCTCCTTCCCAGCCTACAGGCTGCTAGACAGCCACTTTGTCACTCGGGAGAATTGGTAGGTCAATTATTCACTGCTACCAAATAATAACTTCCACCAAAGCTGCAGAGTTATCAACTGAAACAATGGAGAGAAAACTACTTTTAGTTAAATTCATGCATACCTTTCTCTGGCCTAAATGTCTATTAAGATTAGTTAGGCCTAATCTTTGGTTGGTAAAGGAAGCAGACAACAACTAAAATACAAAAGACTAAGAGACAATAGCCTACAGGGGTAGACTTTCCTTAACTGTTGTCAAAAACAACCGAATGAAAATATCGATCGTTATATATTCATTCAGTTGTTTTTGACAACAGATACGGAAGTGTACCCCAATTCAGTTTAAAATGAAAATGGATTTCAAATAGGCTAGGCTATTTCTTTTATAATACCGGTAATTGTAACCTGGTTGAGGTAGAATAAGTTAGGCCTAGGCTAGCCTAAATTAAGTTAACTTATTCTTGATGGTGAATTTACCTAAACTTAAGTTAGTGACTGACGTAAAATATAACCCACATAACTTAGTAATATTTCAAAATTAACAAATGGTATTCCATTTGCCTTGTAAACCAGTAAGTTAGTCCTACTTACTAGCCTATATATTGAACACTATTTTCATCCGGAAGTTGCCCTAAGCTAAATAAACTACTGGTTCAGTAAGAACTAAGCAAGTCGCCTAACTTAGTAGCTTATGCCTAGGCCTAATTTGTATGCATAAAAATACTTCCTCTAAAACTGATTGTCTATTTTGAGGTTTCAGATTTATTTATTTATACTTAAGGCATTAGGAATGATAAGTTGGCCAATTTAATTTATACAGTAACTTAGGGCTAGGTAAGGCCAAGGCCTAAAATACGTCTACTTAAAAATGTTACTAGGTATAGTGACTTTTATACTTACATGCTCCAAAGGATCAAAACGTGAAAAGATGTTCGGTGTAGGTTATGCCAATACCCAGTCACAAAAATAACAACTCCTAACTAGTGATGTAAAATACCCAGGTATTTAAAACTCGGGGTAAATACCCTGGGTATTTACCCGGGTAAATACCCAAAATCCATAAATACCCGGGTATTTTGGGTATTTATAAAATAAATTGAAATTCCCTACCCCTAAATATGTTATTGTTATTACATGATAAATTAGGATAGTCAATAACACCTTTTACAGTAACTTGAAGCTTTGCTCGCTTAATGATTTAGCACTTTTTTTTAATAATACATAAAATTTCTAAATAAGCATGGGGTTTTGTGTCTTAAATCGAGTAACATCAGTTAAATTTAACTCACTAAAAAATATTGGTATATTAAAAAAGGCTGTGGCTATTTCAATTTTTATAATTTCATAAATTTATAACCAATTAAATAACATAAACAAAATTATTTTAATTTATAAATATCCAGGAATTGTTGGGTACTTATGATGCAAAATTGTTATTGTATAAATGGTTTGGAAGGCTAGACAGACCTAAGGCCTATTTGACATCTAGGCAGAATGATAGAATACTTATAAGTAGGCTTAATTAAACTTTTCTGTGTTACCGCTTGGTTGGAAACAATAATATATTTGGATAAACCTACTAAAAAAACGTATCTCCTGTTTTTTGGTCGAACCTAATATAATTTTGAAAGATTTATTGTGCTATAGATTCCAATGTTTTGTATCACAAGTTTATGAAATTAGTTTTTTTTTTATTTTGATACCATTGATAGCCTACCAACAAAAGATTTAGAACAAAAATTATAAATCCTGCCATCCTACAGATTGAATTTTAAAATTATTTTTCTTAAGTTGTTTACACATAGGCTACTACTAGGTTAAATTTTCCTGTCTTTCTAAATAATAATTATTAGGTACTTTGCAAATTATTTTTTTTCACTTTCAATCAAATAAATTCATCTATCTATCATAGAAATTAAAAAATCATAAGTAGTCAGGACCTGTGCAGCAACCATGCGACCAGGGTATTTATGCCGATTATAACCAGAAGTAAAATGCCAGTAGTGACCATATGAAATTTTGTTTAACACATTTTATCATCATTTTACTATCCTTGCAAGGTAATAATTGCAAAAAAACATCTAAATCTTCTCTAACTTTAATAAAAATTATAAATACCCAGTTTTTGGGTATTTACCCGGGCCTGGGGTAAATACCCGGGTAAAAACCCAATTTATATTTACCTACCCACTGGGTATTTACCCGGCCCACATCACTACTCCTAACAGTGACACACACTAAACAAAAGATCAAAACACTTAATTTAACTGATTTGAGGTTATGTCTTGTTCTTGATGCTCTTGTTGCTTCCATAGTTTATTTTCACTACTTGTGTAGCCTACTCAACAAGTTAGTTGTCATAGGTAAATTTTACATAAATCGTGTACTTTCCCTCAAAATGGGCAATTTGTTGGTTAATAAATAAATCAACACAGTGAGTAAACTGGCCACCACTGGTCGCGCGACGGATTTTGTAATTTGTGTTGTAATGTTTTGTTTTGTTTGCTGAGCTGCAGCTGAGTGAGTTAGGTTAGAATTAAGTTGGTGCCTTTCATACGAATGGCCCAAGTCAAGCTCAAACCAGATACTTAACATATTTTTAGAGTTATATTACACTTTAAAAAAATTAAATTTACTTTTGGTTTAATTTACTAGTAAAAATAAAATGATAAGGCCAATCTTTAAGTTTGACTTTTTTATTAATAAACAAAACTTTTAAAAAAGCTGTGTTTCCTATTCACTCTTCTTGAAATGTGTAGTAAGCCTACATTCAGAAAAATATCAGATGTTGCAACAACTCCCCCCCCCCCGCGAAAAGTCAAAATCCATCATCAATTAATTAAAAATTACAGTGTTCAGTGTTCCTTCCTATTATTAATTATTTTGAGATAATTGACCTCCGACCTCCATGTTACAAACTGTAGGCTGGGGACTAATTCTTTACTCTAAAAAAATTTAAAAGTTAAATCTAAAAAATTTCAAAACTTTAATTTGGAAATTTTCAAAGAGAAAATCAAATTTTTAACATTTAGAATATTCATTTAATATTCTAAATTTGATGTTATTTGACTTTGATATTATGAAGATACAATAAATATTCAAAGTTTGACATTGTTTGACTTTGACATTTTGAACATTAAATGAATATCAAATAAATATCAAATTTTTGATTTGACATAGTTTGATATATTGAACGTTTATTTGATATCAAATAAATATTCTGTGCTATGTGGGTATATAGCGACATCATCTGCATATTGTAATGATAGGACTCCATCAGGTAAACATTTGTTTATTTCCGATATGTAGATTGAAAACAAAATGGGGCTTAGTGTGCTTCCTTGAGGAAGGCCACGACATGACACTCTGGAAATTGTTTGGTTGTCTGCTTTTATGTTTAGGGTTCTGTCAACCAGCCATTTCTGACAGTGTGTAATGAATTTTTTGGGTATTCCATACAGATACATTTTTTTAAACAGGTATGGTAGGTTAACCCTGTCATATGCGCTTGAAATGTCCAACGATGTCAGAATTGTTGTTTTTTTTAATGTTTTAGTCTATTTAGTACGACCTGAAGGGCCACCAACTGAATAAAAAAATATTTTCGTCGTATGAAAGTTCCCTAACTTTGCCCCCACCCCAAAAACCAAACCAGTCCTGTTTTCCAGTCCAGTCCAGAGTGAGTCCATTTGATTCCATTTCAATCCAATCCCAAAGTGCAATGTGCTATGTATGTATGTGCTGCTAAATAAATGCATGTGGTCGGGTCGTGGTGGTGCTGGTGCAGGTGCATCCATGTGTGATTATCATCACCACACCGACGAACACCGGACCGACACCAGACAACATCACACTAACCGATATTACAGGCTTCAATTTTGGTAAGTGTCGTATTTTAACCACTGCCTTTAACCTTAAAGTATTCTGATCTAACTTAATCAGCCTAATCGCACATTTGACACAGATATTAAACAGTTAACAATTAATTGCAAACCGCTAACGCCGGTAACTTTTGGGCTGGGCCTCGGGCCTGGCATAATGTCAGGTCTCATGTCATGTTGGAATTCAGCCTCCTCACTAGGATGGTATGGGTGGATTATCCTAACAAAAATGGTATAGTATTACAACCATTGAAACCATAGTATTACAATAACAGGATGAGTTTGACAAAGTAACTTAAATTTGTTTAATACAGGAAATAGCTAGCCTATTCTGTGTCCTATAATCAGTAGGCCTACAGTACAAGAAAGCCTGCCTTGTCTGGTAAGCTAAGCAGTTATTTGTGTAAATTGTCATGAAACTAGTGCCGAGTGTGTGAAGTGGCATTTTGCTGTAAGTTACATGAGAGAAATGTTTACCAAACATCAACCCGTTTTGCCGCCACAATTTTTAAGTAGGGTAAGTTAGCCTAAGTTAGTTGCGTGCCAAAAACGCCAAGGCCATTTTTTGGTACAGCGCAATGTTTTGATTAACAAGCTCTAAGTTAACTCTTGTTTCTTTGGTAATTATTTACCCTATTTAGGCCTACACTGGGATTTGGACTAGGATTAAAACCCATTGACACTGAACCAGTTCCTAGCTTCATTGAGGGAAAGTTTGGACAGCACCATGAGTTCACTATAAGTACCTTGACTATTTAAGAAAGTGGAGTCATCCGCATAAATCACAGAGGTACAGGACATACATTTATCCAAATCATTAATCATTATAAGGAAAAGAACAGGGCCTAACACCGAGCCCTGGGGCACCCCGCAAAAAACCTCACTCTCATTTGATAATATACCCGCAACACCAACCTGCTGCCTGCGGTCTGATAAGTAAGACTTAGAAAGATTGAGTTCTGTGCCACGGATACCGTAGTACTCAAGTTCATTCAAAAGTAAACCATGGGGAACACAATCAAACGCTTTACTTAGGTAAACTAGAGTTGCCTGAGTAAGAGAGGTGTTTTCATAAAAATTTAGCACATGCTGCACCAAACGCCTTACCGCATCCGTGGCACATCTACCCGTTCAAAACCCAAATTGCCAATCAGATATTAGGCCATGGTATTCAAAAAACTTCATTAATTGTGATTTTATTATGGTTTTTAGAACACTTTGCCAATCACAGGAACTAACGAAATGGGTCGGTAACTATTAGGATTCTCCCTCGTACCATTTTTATAAATTGGAACAACTTTTGAGAACTTCAGTTTTTTGGGCCAGGTTTAAAACTTATGGGTTGTATGGGGTATATGGGCTAGGCCAGAGAGCAAGCAGCAGTTGCAGTGAGTGGCAACAAGATATGCACTATTATAAGCTTTGGAAGGTTAGAGGACATACTATATGCATCTGTGCTGAAAGAGGATTTCATATTATGCACAACACTATGTACTTCCTCACAAGACACAGCACTGAACTTGAAGGATGATGGAGAAGCTGGTGTATTCTCAAGTAGTGAAGTGGAAGCAGCAATCGAAGGTGTCACCAGTGCCGCTGTCTGTTCCACAGATGACGCGAAGAAATCACTGAAGTCTTGTGGAGATATGTATCGTAGGGGGTTGGTGTTTGGCTTCTCCACATTACCACGGATAATGGACCGGAAAGCTTTGCATTTGTTGGTTGCAGATTCGATTTCTATTACATTGGCGTTGAGCTTGGTTGGCTGTTGCAAGAGATTTTTTATTAGTCCTTTTTAGGGTCACATAGGTTTCCCTATCAATCTGTGAGTTAAGCACGAGTCACACTAGGCTGGCATCAGCGGCGAATTGAAAGAAGCCGCGACTGTGACCACAAAATTCGCAGCTGACACTGAGCTGACTCAGCCTGGATTGGTAGGCCGGTGATGCTGGTGCCAGCTGCTGATCACCAGCGGCTGGCGAACAGCCTAGTGTGACCCGTGCTTTAGATATTTTATAGGCATCAAAAGCTGTTAGGACTAAGTCACGCTGGACTTAAAGCTCTGCTGTAAACCAACGATTTTTTCGTCTAGGTTTTTTACTCTGATAATTTGGTAATATTTTCTTGAGAGGGAAACATTCATTGATAGTTTTTTGGAGCTGATCAAACAGGATGGTGAAAAGATTGTTGCTGGTATGCCTGCCATCTGATACCAGACCCGGCCAGTCAATATTA